AAGGGAGTGAGGGTGTATTTATTGCCTTTCTGATTAAAGAATCCCAGAATCCCAAAATGTTGTGGCTTGGAAGCCCAAATCGCATCCCGTCCCTTCAATGGCAGGGACACCTCCCACTGTCCCAGGTGCTCCCAGCCCCAGTGTCCAGCCTGGCCTTGGGCACTGCCAGGGATCCAGGGGCAGCCACAGCTGCTCTGGGAATTCCATCCCCGCTCCTCTCTACTCTCCAAGCTGGGAATTCCTTCCCAATATCCCAACTATCCCTACTTTCTCACAGTCTGAAGCCATTTCCCTTGTCCTGGCACTCCAGGCCTTTATCCAAAGTCCCTCTCTCTGCCCCTGGGTTTGAAGTTGTTCAAAGCAAGGAAACAACTTCCCCCTCCCAGCTCTGCAATCCCCCAAATTCCCATTTATTTACCAAATGGACTGAAATATCCTAATGCAGAACTTCCAGGATCATTCATTATCATCCCCTGGGATGGAAATCCAGGAGCCAGAGTGGTTTCTCTCCCAGTTCTCCAGATTTTAGCAGATCTTGGTGCTGGAGTTTGATGTCACTCTGATAAAAGGATCCCTCTCTTGGTGACCATTTCCCACCCTGCCTTCAGTCCCAGAGCTGTTTTCCACATTTCCAGAGGATTTCATTGTTGGCTCCGTGGCTTCCTCAACTTTTCAACTTTCCCTGAAGTGTTCCCATCCCTTCCATCCTCAGATCTCAGACAATAAATCTGGCTCAGGACCAGCTGTTTCTGACACCTGCATTTCTCAGCTGCCAATTTGTAGCCCATAAAAGCTGTATTTAACACATTCTGCATCCTTGGGCTTCACATTTCTTATTCCTAAAGACTTGGGTATTTTAGTTTCTAGAAAAAAAGGGGGAAAATAGATGATTTTTTTAATGCATGTATCACACAAAGCCAATTACACTACATGATAAATGTTATAAAATAATGAAATAATAAAAATGAATGGGAGGAGCAAGTCCAGGAGGATTGTTGATATAATCCTGCAAGAAAAAAGTCAATTACACGCCCAGGATTGTTCTCCTGGATTAGGGATGGTTTAATTGGGAAAGACTGTGCCCACGGTTGAAAGGGCTTTAGAGCAGAAAAGGCAGGGAAAGAGCTTTACCATGGAACTGGAATATCCTCATGGAATATTTTGAGTTGGAGGTATCCCAAGGATCATCCAGCACAACTCCTTTCCTGCCCAGACCCCCAACACTCCCACCCTGGGCATCCCTGGCAGCTCCTGGAGCTCTGGCAGCCTCGGGGCCGTGCCCATTCCCTGGGGGCTCTTCCAGTGCTGATTCCACCCTCTGGGGGAGGAACCTTTCCCTGAAATCCATCCTAAACCTCTCTTGGCACAGCTGAATTTCCTCCTGTCCTGTTGATGCTCCCTGGGAGCAGAGCCCAGCTCCCACCCGGGACACTCTTGGATCAGTTTGTCCCTGGCTCAAGCCAGGCCTCACCTGCCCAGTCTGGGCTGGGTTGGAGCTGCTGGTCCCAGATGGATCCATGGGAGCTGGGAACCTCCTCTGCAGGAGAGCAGGGAGGCAGGGCCAGCTCCACATGGAAACACGTGCCAGGGTTTGGGGTTCTGCTGCTTGTGAAAATATTAATTAAAGAGAGAAATGAGGGAAAACGAGGGGAATTGTGTGAGGAGCAGCTGAGGGCACTGGGATGGTGCAGCTGGAGAGGAGGAGACTGAGGGGAGACCTTGCTGTGGTCTTTGACCTCATCCTGAGGGCAGCTCCAGTTTCAGTTCTCTGGGACTGGGACAAGACCCAGGGAGAGGACCCAGGGAATGTTTAGGGTGGATTTTAGGAAAGGTTCTTCCCCCAGAGGTTGGAATCAGCACCGGAAAAGCTCCCCAGGGAATGGGCACGGCCTGAGACTGCCAGAGCCCCAGGAGGGTTTGGTGAACACCCTCAGGGATGGCCAGGGTGGGATTGCTGGGGGTCTGGGCAGGGCCAGGGGCTGCCCTGGATGATCCTTGGGATCCCTTCCCACTCAGGATATTCCATGATTCCATGATTCTCTGCCATCAAGAACAGACCATCCTTTACAGCTTGCCTGAATCCCAGATTCTTGTCACCGAGTCATTCCAAATCCATCCTCAGGAATGAAGGTGACCCAGGAGCCACTCCTCAATTTTATATTCTCACCTGGATAACTCTGATTATATTACAGTCAGAATTATGAAAGAAAAGCAGGAATAACACAAACACTCCCTAGGAATTTTCCCTCTATGATGTGCAAATGGAATATTTGTCCATGAACTGAACAGCCCAATTTTAGATATAAAACTTCCAAAGAAATCTCTTATTTTTTAAGGAAAATCAATCTGTGTGGTTATAAATGGCAAAGGAATTACTTTAAACATTGACACAGTTTTTTATGGAGTATCCAATGGATTAGTTGACTTCGTCATTAATTTTTTTGCCTTCAATTAACGTTGTCATTAATTAAAGATGTTTTGTCCAGCTAGCGGAGTCAGTGAAGGAATTTCTGCTGGGAATCAATAGGCCATGAACAACAGAGTGAGGAGCTGTTTATTTTTTATGAACATATATGAGCACACAAGGAATCAATCTTTAATCATCCCAGAGGATCAACTCCTCAGGAAATCCAGAATTCCAAGGCTTTAAGAATATAGAGTTTTCCAGCAAAAGACATGGAATAAACCACCTTTTATTGGCATAAATAAAATAAAAAAGCACCCCATAAAATAAAAGAGTACCACATAAATAAAATAAAAAGCACCAGGGTGGTTCCAACCTTCTGGAATGAAAATCTGCCCCATTTACAGCCCGTTTTTGCTTTTCTGTCTCCCTTGGGAAAAAAGATTCCTAAATATTCCAAGGAAAAAAGGAGTCCTGTCCAGACCAACTTTCAGTACTCCAAGTTGCCAGAGTGTGGATATTCTCTGCTTAATTAATTACAGGATAATGCAAATAAATGCTCCAGGAACTCCTCCCGTTTTTCCTCAGAGCTTCATAAATATTCCCAAACCACTGGAAATTTGTTATTCCAGCTTGGCCAAAGTCAGTTCCTCACTGCTGGAAATCCAAAATTCCAGCTTGGCCAAAGGTTATTCCCCACTGGAGTTTCATCCTTATCTTTGTGAGGAAAAGGGCTTTGATTTTGTGACTTTTTTTCTTTCAAAAATTCCTTTTCCAACCAAATCCTGGTTCTTATGGACATTCCAGCTCTCGACACAGGATTTGAGGGGAAGGGTTGTGTTTCATGGTTCTTCCTTGTGGACTTTCTCTTGGAAGCCTCAATCTTGGCTTTTTAATGGAAAAAGGCACAGGCTCAGTGTTAGGGATGGGCTGCACAGGGAATTTTGGGAAGTGGTGATGAGGATTTGGCTCTTTTGCATCCAGGGGAGCCAAGGTGATTCCCAGATCTCCAAGGGAAACAGTCTTGGATGCTTCCAGCTTGGAATCAGCTCGGTGCTGGGAGTTTCCAGCACCCCAAGGCATTGTAGGAATTAAATCCTATTTTTAGGGTGTCCCGGGCTCCGTTTATTTTCAATTATTTTCATATATTTCAGCCCAGGTTGTTGGTGTTTCCCAAGTTTGGAAAGCAGCTTCTGGGATTATTGGGATTATGGCTCTATTTCCAGTGCTGGGTTGGTTTTTCCAAGTGGTAAAACCAAAGCTGGGTGTGGCAGATCCTGAATTTCTTTCTTTATATCAATGTATTTATATATTTATTATTTATATATTTACTTTTATATAAAGTAAAAAATATAAAAATACAAATACAAATACAAATACATATTTGTATTTTGATATATGGATACATTTCTTGCATTTTAAATATTTGGTTTATATTTTTGTTTGTGTATTTTATTTTTGTATAATCTATATATTTGTAGCTTTATTTATTTATTTATTTTAATGTATTTATTTATTCCACAGCAGAGCTGAAAAATCAGGGTTATTTTCCATCCAACACAGCGACAATTTTCTGTTGTTTTGGATTTTTTTTCCTTTGGTTTCCATGGTGAAAAATAAGGATTAGATCAGAGCTGGTGTTGATTGCGAGGGAAAAAGAAAAAGTCAAAATCTTTGTTGTTTCCTATGGAGAAATATCAATATCCAACCCTGGTTTTTGGAGGGATAATCCTGAAAGGAAAAATCCAATTGTTTTCCTTTCTGAAAGGAGAAAATAATGGAGATTTTATTGCTTCTGGAAAGAAAGGGCAAGAATTCAAAGCAGAGGCTGAATTTCATAGAAATTCATGTCTGGTTTGGGTAATTGCAAATTTTTGTTGTTAATTATTGAAATTCTTTGGGAAATCTCCATTTCTGTGGTTCCTTATCCAAAGATGAGGTGGAATAGGGAATATTTTTGATTTTTGTCCTAAAGTGCTCACAGATATCATTGACATAATGACATAAAACTTGGCTTTAAAAGATTAATTTTATTTATTTTTTAAAATTTTATCACCACAAACTGGCCCTAGCTGTGTAGTCCCTGCCTGATGAGCATCCCAAATCTTCAGGAATTGGGGGGACTCCTGTCCTAAGACACAACAAGGGCCATTGGACCTCTGGAAGAAATATTCCAAATTTTTGGTGTGGTTTGTTACAGAAATTCTCCACAGTGGGATAGCTCAGGAAGTTCATTCCTTGTTGAATCTCCAGTTCTTCTGGAATTTTGAAGGTTGCCCAGTGTCTGCTCCCACACACTTTTCCTGCCCCCAAACCCATCCAAGTTCTGTTTGATTTCTGTGGGGAGAGGATGGGCAGCTGGCAGGGAAGGAGTGGCCTCTGGAAGAAACATTCCCAATTTTTGGTGTGGTTTGTTACAGAACCATTCCATGGTGGGGACAGCTCAGGAAGTTCATCTCTTGTTGAATCCCTTGCTGTATTCCTCATTGATTCTTCCAGAATTTTGAAGCTTTCCCAGGTCTGCTCTGCTTTCTAAGGCGAAGCCAAACCCCGAAATGTCTGACTTTTGGGTTTTTTTGGGTTTTTTGGATTGCAGGCTGGCCAGCAGCGCTGGTGGGAGCAGGAGATCACGGTGAACGGGAACATCCAGAAGGGGGAATTGATCACCTACAACCTGACGGAGCTCATCAAGCCCGAGGCCTACGAGGTCCGCCTGACGCCCATCACCCGGTTTGGGGAGGGGGACTCCACCATCCGGGTCATCAAATACAGCGGTGAGGACCCCAAATCCAAGGAAAAGGGGGCTGGGAATGTCCCAGGTCACCTGGAATGGCATGGCTGTTCCAAGTCTTGGGATAATGTCATGAGCACGGTAATGAGCGTGGTCATCAAAAGGAAGGGGAGAAATGGAGGGAAAGGAGAATCACAACCTCTCATAACAACAATAAAATTCTGGACAGCCAAACGCCAAAATCCCATCCAATTTTTTGTGGGAAATAAGGAAAAGTCGGAATAAATTAATGCCAACTTCATTAAATTGGAGATTTCAAGTTGATCCTTGATGGGTTTTGAAGGAAAATCTACAAATGTTGTTATTCCCCCAGAACAAGCAGGTTTCATTTTAATGTGAATTATTGTCTTTAAAAAAAGTGACTGTTTGTGCTACTATGCAAGAATATAAAATCTATAAATTTACATAACCAATAATGGAAGGGCTTTATAAATTTCCCATGTCATGAGCGTGGTCATCCCAAAAGGAAGGGGAAAAATGGGGAGAGAGGAAAATCTTCACCTCTTATAACAACAAAAATGCCAACCAAAATAATTCTGAACAGCCTAACCCCAAAATCCCATCCTTTTTTTTTGTGGGAAATAAGGAAAAATTGGAATAAATTAATGGCACCTTCATGAAATTGGAGATTTCAAGTTGCTCTTTGATGAGTTTTCAATGAAAATCTACAAAGGTTTTTCCCCCAGGATGAGCAGAATTAATTTTATTTTAATGTGAATTATTGTCTCTAAAAATAGTGGCTGTTTGTGCAACTATGCAAGATTATAAAATCTATACATTTATATAAGAAATAATGGAAGGGCTTTATAAACTTCCCACGTCATCAGCGTGGTCATCCCAAAAGGAAGGGGAAAAATGGGGACAGAGGAAAATCTTCACCTCTCATAATAACAAAAATGCCAACCAAAATAATTCTGAACATCCAAACCCCAAAATCCTATCCAATTTTTTTGTGGGAAATAAGGAAAAATTGGGGTCAATTAATGCCAGCTTCATCAAACAGCGTATTTAGAGTTGATTCTTGTTTTGAAGGATGAGTTTTGAAGAAAAATCTGCAAACAAAGTTGGTTTTTTTCCCCCAGAATGAACAGTTTTTATTTTAATGTGAATTATTGTCTTTAAAAAACCAGTGACTGTTTGTAGTCCTTTGCAAGATTATATAATCTATAAATTTATATAAGGAATAATGGAAGGGCTTTATAAATTTCCCTCTAAAAGGTCACTCTGACAAAGATTAATCCACTTACATTTAGAAAGAAAACCACAATATCCATACATCCTGTTTCCCATATTCCCAGAAATTTAATCTTCTGTTAAATCCATCCAAATACCTATTTTTGGGGTGTTTATTTCATGAATAATTGAATTTCTTTTTGTTTGGTTGGTTTTGTGCTGTCAAAATTGCAACGAATGCGCGAGAAGGACCTTAAAGAGGAGGTTGAAAGATCCCTAAACGTGACACTTCGATAATTCCTTGTTTATCATCATCTTCCTGCCAAAAAATTCCCACAAAATGATAAAAATCTTCCCTTAAACCCATCCCATTCCCATCCCAAACTGCTCCAGGAACCCCCAACCTCCTTTACACGTTGTCCTGCAGCTGTGCTGCTCCAAAAGTGAGATTTTTGTGGTTTTTTTCCTGGTTGTTTTGGAGGTTTGTTTTTTTTTTTCCCCAGGTTTATGATGCTGAATAAATTCAGCTTAACCACCTTCATTTTCTTGTCTGCTTTTGTGCCTGGGTGTGACACAGAGCGTTGGCTTTGCTCTGCTGGGAACAATCCAAACCGTGTGACTCGAGGTGACACCTGATGAGATTTTCCATCCAAAGCCCCGCATTTAGTTACAAATCAAGCCTCAGTCAATGCAGCTGCCAGCAAGTGCAGCTAATTCCAGGTTCAATCACTCAGGGATCCTGTAAAATTGAGGTTTTTTTGGAGAATCAGAGGTAATTTGTAGGTAAAAGATGTAAAGATTGGGTTTCTCGGGGAGATGACACTGGAGCAAATCACTGCTCGAGTTTCAGGTAAAGTGGTGCTAATTCAGAGCTGGTGTGGAAAATCCAGATTGAATTTAGGATTTTGCTGAATCTTAGGCTGGGATTAAAGCAAGGAAGGGCAGCAGGAAAACCTGGAGTGATGCTCTGGCATTGTCAGATGTCCCTGTTAATTGGAGATAAAATTTAATATGGGATTTTCTGCGGATAAAATCAAATTCCAGCCCTGATCTCAGCCTCCTTCTGCTTCCCACGTGTGTGGGGCTGTGGAAGAGGGGCCTTTTCCTAAATCATCCATCCTCAAATTCCTCCTGCAAATAGAGCCACAGAATAATCCCCCCTTCAATCCCATTCCCAGGTTTTAGCATTGCACAGATTCCTCTGGATTAACCTGGGAAGCCATTCCCAGGCTTAGGATATTGTGGACATTGTGAAGGTTTGCATTTCATTCTCTTCCAGCCTCTTAAAGGGGTAAAGTAGATGAATTTCAATATTCAGCAAGGGGAAATTTAGGATAATCTGAATACTGATGAACTGAAATTTTTTCTGTTATTAATTATTAATTTTATTTTCCCTCTGTTTTCCAGCTCCGGTGAATCCACATCTCCGTAAGTATTTAAATTATTTATTATTTCATCTCCATGCCATGAAGAAGAGTCCTTCAATTGGTTGTCCCTCACAGTTGAAAAGTACATTTGAAGTATTTTACTCCCAGTTGAAAAGTAAATTTGAAGTGTTTTGCTTCTGGTTGCAGCCCAGGGGTAGCAGAAACCACCTGAAGGTGTCATTTGGGATTCCTCTTGTTCCAACAAGGATAAGGGAAGGAAAATCACAGCTCCAGCTCATCTTTCTCATTGCCCCAAAGAGTTCATCCAAAGGAAAATATTCGTGGGCTAAAGTTCAGATCCAGCTGTGGTGGAGCAGCTCAGGAGGTGTTGGGGATGCCATGGGAAATCATGGAAGGGCAGGGACACCTCCCACTGTCCCAGGCTGCTCCCAGCCCCAGTGTCCAACCTGGCCTTGGGCACTGCCAGGGATCCAGGGGCAGCCACAGCTGCTCTGGCAATTCCAGCCCAGCCAGGAATTCCCCATTCTCAATATCCCACCTAAATCCACCCTCCTTCACCTTCAAACCATTCCCTGGCTCCTGTCCCTCCATCCCTTGTCTCCAGTCCCTCTCCAGCTCTCCTGGAGCCCCTTCAAGCTCTGGAAGATTCTCGAAGGTCTCCCCAGAGCCTTCCTTATGATTCTTGAGTTATTTCCATGCTTTTTAGGGCAGATTGAAACCAAAAAGAAGGAAGTTCTTCCCCACGAGACCCGGGAATCATGGATTCATTGCACAGAGAAATGGGGAGGCCCCAAGTGGATTTTGGTTCTCCCCAAATTCTCAGGACACTCAGGCATGACTGGAAATGCAAACTCTGACACAGGGGTGTCCCGGGCTGGAAATGCCAAAGTCACATTTTGTTCTTCCACTTTTCCATGGGCACCAAATCCCTGCAAACGTCCAGGCAGGAGACTGGGATGGAGCTTTGGCACATCCCAGTAAAACCACCCTGTTCCCACAGTCCCACGTCTCCCTACTCCATCATGTTCTCCCAAACCCCAACAAATCCATTTTTTTCTGTCACAAAATATTCTTGTTTTTAATAGCACGTCCTGAAATTATTCCCACCTAAGGAATGAGGTCCAGTCTCCCATTTTTCCTGCTGCAAGGCAGAGCCATCAGGCATGAGCAGACTCTGCTCCATCCCTCAGACTCAACTTTAAACCTTTGTGTAAATTTTAAATTTATTTGCAGAAGATCTTGTCCAACATGTTAATAATTAAGCAGGACTTAGCTCAAAGCTGCCAGGGGCTGCAGGAACCTCTCCCATGGAGCCTTAACGAGCAGGGCATGAGACTCTTGCTAATTAATACATTAAATCTAGGCTCTGATGGGAAGAAAAAAATACAATCCTAAGTGCTTCACGCTCCTCTAGGATTTTAAGATCTCAAACTAATTTTCCAAAAGTCTTGTAGGATCATGATGGAATGTGGGTGGCATCCAAATGGGAATAAGGAATGTGTCGGCTCAAGGGTGGGATGGGAAAGTTTTTCCACCAAAGCTGCAGTGTCCCCAGGGCCACTCCTTTCAGGTGGCCAAAGCCATGGTAGAATTCTGCTTTGCTTGCTTTCCCTGAAGATTTTTTGACTGGAATCCCATGGTAGGAAAGAAATCCCAGTCTGTATCCCATCCCTGTTCCCCAAGGCCACCACTGCCCCATGGCCCCAAGTGCCACCTCCATCATGGCTTGAAATCCCTCGGGGATGGGCACTCCAAACCTCCCTGGGCACTTCCAAGGCCTGAGCACCCTTTCCATGAAGGAATTTTCCCTGATATCCAATTTAAGCCTCCCCTGGCCCAGCCTGAGGCCGTTCCCTCTGCTCCTGTCCCTGTTCCCTGGAGCAGAGCCCGACCCCCCCGGCTGTGCCCTCCTGGCAGGAGCTGTGCAGAGCCACAAGAGCCCCCTGAGCCTCCTTTGCTCCAGGCTGAGCCCCTGCCCGGCTCCCTCAGGGATTCTGCAGCCCCTGCCCAGCTCCCTCAGGGATTCTGCAGCCCCTGCCCAGCTCCCTCAGGGATTCTGCAGCCCCTGCCCAGCTCCCTCAGGGATTCTGCAGCCCCTGCCCGGCTCCCTCAGGGATTCTCCAGCCTCTTCCCAGCTCCCTCAGCCTCTTCTGGGGCTCCAGACCCTTCCCCAGCTCCCTTGTCTGTGCTTCCTACAAAATCCCTGTTGTTCCTAAACCTGTCAGGCCGATTTCTGGTTTTATTTATGCTGTGTGAACAAAGAGGAGGAGCTGTATCCAACCAGGACAAGATTCCTGACTGGAACCTGAAGTCATGCTCTTCCTGCTTCACTTCTGGAATAATCCCATTCCCTAAATCCTGCCTTTTGATGCAATCTCTGTGATACCCAAGCAAAAAGCATCAAAAGACTTCAACTCTGAGGTGGAGCCTCACTTCTCCACTTCATTTTTTACCGCCTAACAGAAACCATTTCATGTAAACCAGAAGGATTTTAGATCAATTTGTACAATTAGAGGTCACCCCTGAATAATAGGAGAGAGGAGATGTTCGGGAGTCACATCCAACTTGGATTTTATGGGAATGGATGACACAAATCCCTGCTACAACGAAGGGTTTCACCTCCAGAACAGCTTCAGCTTTTGCTCTAATTGGCAAGGAAATTATTAATGACCTGAATCCACTTCCAGAGCTGCCATGTGCCCTGACAAAAACCGCCACTCTCATTAATGTTAATTAGCACCATCGTTAGGGCCATGGCTGGAGCACCTGTGGAAGAGCTGCTGGTTCCTCCTGCTCAGCAATTAACAGCGCCAGACCATCCAGATCTATTTAAATGCTCCTACAAAAGTATGGAGCAAATCCTGAGGAGCTTTTTCCCATTTTTCTTCTTCTGTCATTTTTTAAGGAGTGTTCAGTGCCAAGAACATTTAGCACTAACCTTTTCCAAGGTATTCCACATGAAATCAATGTTTGACTATTAAATAAATGGCAAACTTTGACTCTTCTTTTTTTTTCCCCCCATCTGGCTTGAATATTTATTTTATTTTTTTCTTCACCTCAGGAAAAAATCTTTTGTTCTGCTGATGTGGAAATTCTTAATGAAGCTCTGAGGGCAGAAGACATTTATGTAGCTTTTAAGACACTGGAGGGGCAGTGCAGAAAGTGCTGAATGGCTGAAAATTCTTTCTTTTCTTCACTTTGCTCCAGGACTGGATCTGGGAATCAAAACTTTTCTCCTTCACTTAAATTTTTCCTTTTGATTTCATCCCTTTGTGTAGAAGCAGCAACTTCTGTGTTGCAGGAAGATGCAAAAGTGGAGGTGGGAGCAAAATCCACAAAATGTGGGGTAAACCAAAAGAATTTGGAGCTCAGGTGATGTAAAAAGAATTCTTGGAGAGGCACAGCTGGCACTTTGTTCAGAGAGCTTTGTTTGAGTCCTGGGACATTCCAAGAGCCTTGGCGGGGTCTTGGAATTCCCTTCCCAGTCTTGGGATGAGGATGGAGATGTCGATTGGTTGATGTCTCTCCTGAAGGGTTTGGGTGCAGTCATGGAACCATCAAAGGATCAGGGACTGGTTTGGGTTGGTGGGACCTGAATCCCATCCCATCCCATCCCACTGTCCCAGGATTCTCCAAGGCCCAATGTCCAGCCTGGCCTTGGGCACTGCCAGGGATCCAGGCGCAGCCACAGCTGCTCTGGCAATTCCAGCCCAGCCCCTCCCAGGCAGGAATTGCCTCCCTGGTGCCCAGAGCAGCTCCCACCATGCTGAGCTCCCAGGGATGACCAGAATCCCACATCCCGCTCAGGTCAGCAGAGAAGGAGCCGTGCTTTGGGAATGAATTCTCCTGGGGGATCTGATGATGTTGATGGATTTACTGGGAAGCCAAACCAGTCTGCTCCAGGTGCTGAGAGCCAAGGAAGTTTCTGGGAACTGCATTCCAGGGCTAACTTGGTTTTATAGGATTGTGTTTTACACCGATGGTCCCAGAGGGGCACAGAATTCCAGGATGGATCAGGCTGGAAGGGGCCACAGAGGGTCACTGGTGCCAGTCCCTGCCCAGGGCACAGGATTGTGTCCATGTGGCTCTGGAATATCCCAGGGAGGAGACTCCAGCCCCTGTCTGGGCTCTGCTCAGGGCTGGGCACTGCCCAGGGCAGGAATTCTGCCTCCCGTGCCTGGGAATTCCTGGGATCAATCCCTGCCCGTGGCTCTGGGGCCATTGCTGGGCCTGGGGCAGAGCCTGGGCCTGCTCTGACCTCTGCACATGGGGACAGACAGGGGGACACAGGGACAGACTGGGACAGACAGGGACAGCCAGGGGGACACAGGGACAGCCAGGGACAGCCAGGGACAGCCAGGGACAGACAGCCAGGGACAGACAGGGACAGACAGCCAGGGACAGACAGGGACAGACAGGGACAGACAGGGACACATGGGGACACCCAGGGCTGAGGCCCCCCTCAGCTGGGGCTCCTCTCCAGGCTGAGCAGCCCCAGCTCCCTCAGCCTTTCCTGGGCACGGAGATGCTCCAGCCCTTCCTCATCCTCCCATCCCTCCTCTGGGCCAGATCCAGGAGCTCCAGGTCCCTCCTGTCCTGCTGATCCCAGAGCTGGACACAGCACCCCAGATGTGCCCAGGGCTGAGCAGAGGGGCAGGATCCCCCCCAGTCTCCTCCCTGATCCCCCTTGGACCCCTTTGGCCTTTTGTTTCTTTGGAAAGGCGGGAGGAGAACCAGGAATATTTAGAAATCACTCTGAGTGCATCCTGTGGTTTACAGTGAAATTTCCAAGCTTATTTCTGAGCCTGCAGCATCACCTGAGTGTTGCAGCACTAAGCTCCAGGTCCCTCTTTCCTCACTGATTAACAGGGAAGCTCCAGTGGCTTAAGTGGATTTAGAGCTCCCCAAAAGCCCAAACCTGCAAACATTTATCCACCTTCTCAGTTTAACAGGGATGAACAATCCCCCGACACCGGGGGTTTGAGTTTCTCCTACCAATGAATATAAATTGCACCCCTCCAAGCTGACACCATGTGCAGGCAGCTGCCTTCTCCCTGGAGAAGGGAGATTTCCTTCTTTTCTCAGATAAATCAATGGACTTTGCAGAAAGAGTAAACTCGGCAGGAATTGTTCATGCAGTGAAATTCAGCTTTTGCACGTTCTACTCCACAGGGCCTTGTAATGCTCTGAGTGAGAACTGAACCTCCAAGCTGGGCTTTGTTTTGGTTCTTAAATTGCAAGAGGAATTTCTCATCCCATCCTCACCCAGCAGGGCAGGTCACTAGGATCACTGCACTGGGCTCTCACAATTCCATGCTGGAGAGGATCCCAGGAATCCTCCTTGGGGTTCTTGGCAATTTTTATTTTTTAGACCTATGTGTTTACCACTTTCTTCAAATACATCACAGAAATCTCAGTGAAAATCCAGGAGGTGTGTCCAGGACATGATACAGTCACCTCTGCTTCCCATATGGATTCAGATATTCCTCACAGGAATTTCTTATGATAATCTGGTGATGGGGACTCAATTCTCCTCCTGGTATCCCTCCATGTTCTGCAATGTCCTGATTTTTAGACATTTCCTTCAATGAGGCTACTTTGCCTCATTTTAGCCACTTCTTCCTTTCCTATCCCTATTGAAATGAAGGATAATTTAGGAGATGCCACTTGGAGATAATGTTTACAATTTGAAAAACTGCTGTCTCTTATTCCTAAACCACATTAACCCACTTCCCACAATTTTCCCCAATTTTAATGTTTTATGGGAATGATTCTGTTCTCCCCGGCTTTTTAGAAATGTAAAAAGAGACAACACCTCTAAAAATCAGTGTGTAAATCTGAATATGTGAGGAGGAGCTCTACAAAAAGATATAATTTCAATTTCACCAGCACAAATCAATGACCCTGATTTATTTTTTTGTTGAGCTTGCTGCTAAAGAAAACTGTGGATAATTGACAAGGAGTTTGAAAAATAAGGATCAGATGGCAAACCTTGGCCAGTAAATTCCTGTTATTTGTTTTGTCAGGAGAGTTCCACTGTGGCTTTGAGGATGGGAACATTTGCCTTTTCACTCAAGATGACACCGACAACTTTGACTGGACAAAACAAAGCACTGCCACGAGGGACACGAAATACACGCCCAACACGGGGCCCAACGCCGACCGCACCGGCTCCAAGGAGGGTAAGATCCAGCAGTGAGGAATGTGGGATAAGGGAACTGTCCAGGACAGGCACCTCAGCCCTTTCCTGGTCATGGAATCCCAGATGGATTGGGATGGGAAAGGATTCAAGTTCATCTTTTCTCACCCCTGCCATGGCAGGGACACAGCATCACAGAATCACAAGGTTGGAAGAGACCTTCAAGGTCATCGAGTCCAACCTGTTCCCTGACACCCCAACTCAGCCCTGGCACTGAGTGCCTCATCCAGGCTTTGTTAAACACACCCAGGGATGGGACTCCAACACCTCCCTGGGCAGAACATTCCGGAACTTTATCACCCTTTCTGTGAAAAACTTTTTCCACTGTCCCAGGCTGCTCCAAGCCCCAGTGTCCAGCCTGGCCTTGGGCACTGCCAGGGATCCAGGGGCAGCCACAGCTGCTCTGGCAATTCCAGCCCAGCCAGGAATTCCCAATTCCCAGTCTCCCACCCATCCCTGCCCTCTGGCACTGGCAGCCATTCCCTGGCTCCTGTCCCTCCATCCCTTGTCCCCAGTCCTTCTCCAGCTCTCCTGGAGCCCCTTTAGGCCCTGGAAGGTTCTTTAAGTTCAGACCAAGATCCTTCAAGGACTTCCAGAAGGAATCACCAGTGCTGAAGAGTGACAGGTCCCAAAGCACAACCCCTGACAGTGCCATTCCCACCTTGCCTCATTTTTATTGTGCCATTTTCAAAGTGATTCCCTTTACATTAAAATCTAGTGGGGCAATCTGGCTCATCTTAAAATATTCTCCTGCTTTACGTCATTTAAATTCTCCCTTGAGCTCTCTCAGCCCATCACAATGAGGGGATTTTGCCCCATTTTTGCTCTAGCTATTGTTCAAATGTGCAATTTTCAATCTGCTGCCCCTGTTAACGTGTGCTCCTGACTGCAGTGAGGATTTGCATTTGAAAAAAAAATCCAGCACATCGAGCTGAATTTATCCAGACCTGCAGTAATTCCTGCTATTTTATTGTGTGCACTTCCAAAGGGGAAAAATTCATCCTGCACCACTTTAATTTGGTTGGATTAATTCAATAATATCTCTGTGGTTGGCACTTCCAGGAATGAAATAAATGGATATCGTCTTCTCTGGGATTGACATGGCAAGTTGAAAATATTCCTTGAAAAGTTTCCATCCTGATATTTTCCCTCTATTTTACAAGTCATGTTTCCAGGGACAAATTCCCCCTCAGGACTGAAGGCTGAACCCCCTCAGATTTTCTGCAAAGGTTCATCAGTTTGGAGATGATTTCCAGCACTGGCCTGCTTCCTGGATTTTAGTTTTCAGGGAAAACACAGCTTTGGAGCAGCTTTTAGAAACACAGAGGCTTCATGTAGGAAAAAATGAGTCCCAGAAATGACATGGTGGGAGATGGAAGTGAGAACTTTACCAGCATGCTTGTTAATTCCAAGGTGTTTCTGGATTTATCTGTGTTGGATGTTGAGGGTCTCATCCCAAGGATTCCTCTTTGGATTTTTCCAGGTTTTTATGTGTACGTTGAGATGTCCCAGGTGTTGAGGGCCTCGTCCTAAGGATTTCCATCTGTGTTGAATGTTGAAGGCCTCCTCCCAGTAATTTCCTTTTAGATTTTTCCAGATCTTCCAGTGTACATTGAGATACCCAGCTGCTGAAGGCTTCATCCCAATGATTTTATTTTGGATTTTTCCAGGTTTTTATGCCTACATTGAGACGTCCCAGGTGTTGAGGGCCTCATGCTAAGGATTTTCTTCTGTGTTGGGTTTTGAAGGCCTCATCCTAAGGCTTTCCCTTTGGATTTTCCCAGGTTTTTACATGTACATCAAGTCATCCCAGGTGCTGAGGGCCTCATCCCAATGATTTCTCTTTGGATTTTCCCAGGTTTTCATATGTACATCGAGATGTCCTGGATGTTGAGGGCCTCATCCCAGTGATTTCCTTTTGGATTTTCCCAGGTTTTCACATGTACATCAAGATGTCCCAGGTGTTGAGGGCCTCATCCTAATGATTTTCTTCTGTGTAGGGTGCTGAAGGCCTCATCCTAAGGGTTTCCTGTTGGATTTTCCCAGGTTTTCACATGTACACAGATGTTGAAGGCCTCATCCCATTGGATGATTCTAAGGATTTCATTTCATTTCATCCTAAGGATTTCCATTTGGATTTTTCCAGGTTTTCACATGGATATCAAGACGTCCTGGGTGTTGAGGGCCTCATGCTATGGATTTCCATCTGTGTTGGATGTTGAGGGCCTCATCCCAATGGTTTCCCTTTGGATTTTTCCAGGTTTTACATGTACATTGAGCAATCCCAGGTGTTAAGGGCCTCATTCCAGGTTTTCACAAGCATTGAGGGCCTCATCCCCAATGATTTCCCATGGGATTTTCCCAGGTTTTTACACGTACATCAAGACATCTCAGGTGTTAAGGGCCTTATCCCAATGGTTTCCCTTTGGATTTTACCAGCTTTTTACATGTACATTGAGACATCTCGGGTGTTGAAGGCCTCATCCCAATGATTTCCCTTTGGATTTTCCCAGGTTTTCACATGTACACAGATGTTGAAGGCCTCATCCCAATGGTTTCCCTTTGGATTATTCCAGGGTTTTCCATGTACATCAAGAAGTCCTGAGTGTTGAGGGCCTCATGCTATGGATTTCCATCTGTGTTGGATGTTGAGGGCCTCATCCCAACAATTTCCCTTTGGATTTTTCCAGGTTTTTACATGTACATCAAGACATCCTGGGTGTTGGGGGCCTCATCCCAATGATTTCCCTTTGGATTTTTCCAGGTTTTTCAATGTACATTGAGTGATCCCAAGTGTTAAGTGCCTCATTCCAGGTTTTCACACGTACAAAGGTGTTGAAGGCCTCATCCCAACAATTTCCCTTTGGATTTTCCCAGGTTTTCACATGTACAAAGGTGTTGAAGGCCAATGGTTTCCCTTTGGATTTTTCCAGGTTTTTACATGCATACAGGTGTTGAAGGCCTCATCCCAATGATTTCCCTTTGGATTTTCCCAGGTTTTCACATGTACACAGATGATGAAGGCCTCATCCCAACGGTTTCCCTTCGGATTTTCCCAGGTTTTCACATGCACACAGGTGTTGAAGGCCGCATCCCAACGATTTCCCTTTGGGTTTTTCCAGGTTTTTACATGCACACAGGTGTTGAAGGCCGCATCCCAACAGTTTCCCTTTGGGTTTTCCCAGGTTTTTACATGTACACAGATGATGAAGGCCGCATCCCAACGGTTTCCCTTTGGGTTTTCCCAGGTTTTTACATGCATACAGGTGTTGAAGGCCTCATCCCAACAGTTTCCCTTTGGGTTTTCCCAGGTTTTTACATGTACATCGAGACGTCCCGGCCCAGGCTGGAGGGGGAGAAGGCCCGACTCGTCAGTCCTGTTTTCAGCGTCGCTCCCAAAAATCCCTACGGAGCCACCAACACGGCCTACTGCTTCAGCTTCTACTATCACATGTATGGACAGCACATAGGTGAGAGAAAGCCAATTCCTCTGGGAAAAATAGCTGGAAAAAATTCCTCTTGTTTGAAGGAAAATCATGGGAAGAGTGCCAGTTCCTCCGAGTGCCTGGCATAACTCAGGGAGGCGCTTGAGGGCATCCAAATCATCTGTTTTCCACTAATCAGGGATTTGTAGGAAGGAGGAATTTCCCTTTTACAGCTGGGAAGTGTTTCCTGCACGAGTGAGGTTTTGGGCAGGGAATTGCATGGGAATCCCATTGATCTGAATGGGAATTTTAGAGCCTGGAAAGGGAAAAGTTGATTTTAACAAGGGTTTTTTTCTGATTCTAACGGGATGTTTTAGGCCTTCCTGACTGAATTCAGGATCAGGTTGGGAGCACCTGCATTTCTTAGGTGTTTCCTGTGGAAAAGTCATGGAAAATTTGCTCAAAAACTGCAAGAATCTGAATTTTCAATGGATATCTGTAAGTGTTCTAGGTATTTCTGATGGATTCAGGATCAGGCAAGGAGCAGCAGCACTCCTCATGCATTTCCCATGGAAAACACATGGAAAACTTGCTGCAAAGCCACAGGTATTTTGATTTTCAAGGAGTATCTGTGAGTGTTTTCAGCATTTCTGACTGGGTTCCATATCAGGCAGGGAGCAGCAGCACTCCTCATGTATTTCCCATGGAAAAGTCATGGAAAATTGGTTCAAAGCTGCAGGAATGTAGATTTTCAAAGGGTATCTGTGAGTGTTGTGGGTGTTCCTGACTAAATTCAGGATCAGGCAGGGAGCAGCAGCATTCCTCAGGTGTTTCTTGTGGAAAAACCATGGAGAATTTGCTCACAAACTGCAGTAATACAGATTTTCAAGGAGTAAGTTTGAGTGTTTTTGGCATTCCTGACTAGATTCAGTATCAGGCAGGGAGCAGCTACATTCCTCTTGTATTTCCCATGGAAAAGTAATGGCAAATTTGTTCAAGAGCTGCAGGAATGTAGATTTTCAAAAGATACCTGTGAGTATTTTAGATGACTGGATTCAGGATCAGGCAGGGAGCAGCAGCCTTCCTTTGGTGTTTCCTGTGGAAAAGTCATGGAAAATTTGCTCAAAAGCTGCAGAAATGTGGATTTTCAAGGAGTATCTGTGAATGTTTTAGGCACTCCTAATGGATTCAGGATCAGGCAAGAAGGAGCAGCACTCCTCATGTATTTCCCATGGAAAAGTAATAGAAAATTTGTTCAAAAGGTGCAGGAATGTAGATTTTCAAAAGATATCTGTGAGTATTTTAGATGACTGGATTCAGTGTTTTAGGTGTTCCTAAGTGAGTGAGTGTTTTAGGTGTGAGTGTTTTAGGTGTTCCTGACTAAATTCAGGATCAGGCAGGCAGCAGCAGCATTCCTCAGGTGTTTCTTGTGGAAAAACCATGGAGAATTTGCTCACAATCTGCAGTAATACAGATTTTCAAGGAGTAAGTTTGAGTGTTTTTGGCATTCCTGACTAGATTCAGTATCAGGCAGGGAGCAGCTACATTCCTCTTGTATTTCCCATGGAAAAGTAATGGCAAATTTGTTTAAGAGCTGCAGGAATGTAGATTTTCAAAAGATACCTGTGAGTATTTTAGATGACTGGATTCAGGATCAGGCAGGGAGCAGCAGCCTTCCTTTGGTGTTTCCTGTGGAAAAGTCATGGAGAATTTGCTCAAAAGCTGCAGAAATGTGGATTTTCAAGGAGCATCTGTGAGTGTTTTAGGCACTCCTGATGGATTCAGGATCAGGCAGGCAGCAGCAGCACTCCTCATGTATTTCCCATGGAAAAGCCATGGGGAAATTGTTCACAGACTGCAGGAATACAGATTTTCAAGGAGTAAGTTTGAGTGGTTTCGGCATTCCTGACTGGATTCAGGATCAGGCAGGGAGCTGCAACATTCCTCATGCATTTCCCATGGAAAAGTCATGGCAAATTTGCTCTAAAGCCACAGGAATTTGGATTTTCAAGGAGTATCTGTGAGTGTTTTAGGCATTCTTGATGGATTTGGGATCAGGCAGGGATACATTCCTCATGTGTTTCCTGTGGAAAAGTCATGAAAAATTTGCTCACACACTGCAGGAATTTGAATTTTCAAAGGGTACCTGCCAGTCTTTTTAGTCCTGCCTCTTTCAACACCCACATTTAATTTCTTTTTGTGATATGAAAAAAAAAAAAAAAAAAAAAAAAAAAAAAAAAAAAAAAAAAAAAAGAAGTGGGAAAATATAAAAGCCCAAACAACAAAAAATCCAATATTTGGAAGGCCTTTGCGGGTTTCTTGGTGCTCCCAGTGTGCCAGGAGTTTTTCCAATGTCAAAGTGACCTGGTTTGATGTATTTTTATCTCTATTCCAAGGGCAAACCCATCCTCCCAGAGAGTTCTGGTGCTTGCTTTGTCCGAGCTCCCCCTGCCCCCAGGCAGAGCTCAGATTTTAAGCAGAGCAGACAAGAGCACTCAGGTTATTTTTTTTTTTTTGTCTCTGTGCTGCAGGAAGGTGGATGCAGCTCCAGGTTGGAATTCTCCTGGCTCTTTGCTGGGTTTTTTATTGGAAGGAAGGGATTCAGCCACTCCATGCTGAGAAAAAATATAGAAATTGCAATATCTGGTCATATTCTGGTCGTTTATTTATGGGGAATTATGAAGAACAAATTACAAACATCAAGGGTCCAAGAGTGTTTCTGTATTCTAAAAGTTAGAAAGTATTCTAAAAGTTTTATTCTACTTCTTATTATTCTTCCTTTAAAGTACTATTAATAAATTTTTCTTTTTACCCTTTTAAAGTTTTAAACCTACTTTACCTTTCTCCTAATCCTGCCTCACAGCAAAAGTAAATAAATTAGCAATTAACCAACACTAAACCCCCCACACTCATTAATACAGTAACCAAAAAAACCTTAAATGAACAAACCAAAACCACTACACACGTAAATATAGACATGAATATAAACAAATATAAAATAAATTAAAATAAATAAATTATAAATAATATATATATATAAATAAAAATAAATATATATAAAATAAATATAAACATTTGGAGGAGGGATGACGCCGAGCAGCATTCCCAGCCCTGCTCCAAACACCTGGGCTGGGCTAAAGGAATCCCTTTGCAATCCCTTTCTGGTTTAGGTTTTTCCCTGCTTTGTGTGGAGGCAGAGCCAGACTTTCCTCTCCAGATCCCATTTCCTTTGTGCCCATTCCCTGCATTCCAGGTGGGATCACAGAGCTGCTCCTCATTCTCCCTTCCCAGCTCCTTCAGGGAAGATGGATGGTCCCATTCCAATCCCATTCCAATCCCATTCCAGTCCCATGCCAACCCCATTCCAGTCCCATGCCAATCCCATTCCAGTCCCACTCCAGTCCCATTCCAGTCCCAGTCCAATCCCACTCCAGTCCCATTCCAGTCCCACTCCAGTCCCATTCCAGTCCCATTCCAGTCCCATTCCAATTCCTTTCCAGTCCCATTCCAGTCCCATTCCAATCCCACTCCAGTCCCATTCCAGTCCCATTCCAGTCCCATTCCAATTCCTTTCCAGTCCCATTCCAGTCCCATTCCAATCCCACTCCAGTCCCATTCCAGTCCCATTCCAGTCCCATTCTCTCCCCCTGGTGCAAAGGCCATCAGGGGAATATTTCCTCCATTAAATCTCCAGCCTGATGTTTTCCAAGGCTCCAAGTTTGACTTTTGCTGGAAACAAGAACTGTTCCAGAGCAGGTGCAGCTGCCTCAGATCTGGGAGCTTTCCTTGGAATTTTTGGGATCTGCTGTGCCAGGCATCCCAAAAATGCTGCTCCTGTGGGAATTTGGCTGTCTGAAAGTCTCAGATTAGGAGAAATACACTGTATTTACAGACCACAAAGAGGCCCCACTGCCCCACACACCTGCAGGCAACCGCGGTGGCAAATAAGACCAAAACCCCCAAATCCTGTGAATTAATGAACCCAGAGAAATGAAATTTGTTATTTTTCTGTGCACCAAGAGAATCTGGTTCTGTTCACGCCTGCATTTTTGACCCTGGTGTCCCAAGTGTCTGTGCTGGCACCGGTTACTTACTGGTGGGCAAAGGTGCAGCTCTGGGGGGTTTTCCTGCACAGGGAGAGATTTTGGAGGTTTTTTTGAACTCAGAGGATGTTGTTGTCCTCCAGAAATATTCCCAAGGGCATCAGGTCTCTCCCTGAGATGGATCTGCCAGGTTCTGGGGAGCTCCAGGAGTTCAGCAATGGGCAGAGGAAAGCTGGTAGGAAATGAGCAAGAACTCAGAACAAAAGAGCCAAATTGCTGATTTTGCCCTGGACAAGGAGGTCTAATGCCGATTTCTTGCTCTAAACCACAGAAAATTCCTTTTTGCCTGTTTTCCCTGGAATTCTCATGCCTTGCCTGAGCTGCAGGATGGGTGCTCAGTTCCCCTCTGCTGGGAGCTCCCATCACCACTTCCCGGCATTCCTGAATTTAAAAGGTTTGGAATTTACAGCAGGAAACTTCCACACCTCAAATCCAAGGAAAACAGGGGAGGAGGATGCTGCAGCATCCAGGCAGAGCCTTCCCAGCTCCAGCTCTCCTTCTGTTTTCCAGGAAGTTTGAATGTTTACCTGAGGCTCAAAGGCCAGACTGCCATAGAAAACCCCTTGTGGTCCTCGAGTGGGAATAAGGGACAGCACTGGAACCAAGCCCGGGTGAACATCAACCCCCCCACCTCATTCCAGGTAAGGCTGGCACCTCCAGGAACTGGGAATTCAGGGCTGGGAGGGAGACTGGGAATATTGACCCTTTTCTTTGGGATTTCCCAGCTCTGGAGGCTGCTCATGGACAGATCATTGCTTTCCTTGAGCACCACAGGGCTTAATAATGCTTGAGCTCAAAACACTTTCCAGCTTCCCAAAGATGCTGGGAGTGATTCCAGCAGGTTTTGATTTCAGATTAGCAAGTGGAATATAAAATCATGTGCTAGGAGAAATTACTTAGGGCGCCTGTGTTAGAGGCTTTTGGAAATACTTGGGTTTTCTGTGGGAAATGAATGGTCTGGGAGCCTGACACACAGAGGGCTGTGACAGGTTTTTCACACATTTCCTGCTGGGGTTGACAGGGAGGTGCTGATGGACCTTTAGGGGCAGTTCCCAGGCACACTGGAACACTCCCAAAAAAGCAGCTGCTGCCAGCAGGTCCTGCTGCGGGTGAGGCTGGGAATGTCCTCAGGGAATGTGGGAGTCATGAGCCATGCCCTGAGTGCAGGGCTCTCCTCTGAGCCCTCTCTGTCACTTCCAGCTCTCCTAGGGGAGAAAATGTATTTTTGGGAAAAAGTTACAGGCTGGTTTGGGTTTGAAGTGACCTTGAATCCCATCCCATTAAATGCCATCCCATTAAATCCCATCTCATTCAATCCCATCCCATTAAATGTCATCTCATTCAATCCTATTCCATTCAATCCTATTCCATTCCATCCCATCCCATCCCATCCCATTCAGTTCCATCACATTCAATCCCATCTCATTCAATCCCATTCCATTCAATCCCATCCGATTCAGTCCCATCCCATTCCATCCCTATCCTATTCCACACCTCCCACTATCCCAGGGTGCTCCAAGTCCCAGTGTCCAACCTGGCCTTGGAAGATTCCTTCAGTGCAAATCCAAACTGCTCTTCTAAAAATTTGCATTAAGTTCCACTTCCTTCATTTTCAGGGAATTCCTGATCCTGACCCTTTGTTTTTATTTCCATGCATGAGAGGCATTGGCAGGAGAGAAATGGTTCGGTCTGTGGGATTGCAGAGCAATTCCAAGGATGGGAATTAGAGGAAAATTGAGGGAGAGGGAGATGTGAAATACAGTGGGACATGAGAGAGCTGGGAATGCTCCCCTGGAGGAGGGAAGGGTTCAGGAAAACCTCAGAGCCCCTGGCAGGGCCTGAAGGGGCTCCAGGAGAGCTGGAGAGGGACTGGGGACAAGGCATGGAGGGACAGGAGCCAGGGAATGGCTGCCAGTGCCAGAGGGCAGGGATGGGTGGGAGATTGGGAATTGGGAATTCCTGGCTGGGCTGGGATTGCCAGAGCAGCTGTGGCTGCCCCTGGATCCCTGGCAGTGCCCAAGGCCAGGCTGGACACTGGGGCACCCTGGGACAGTGGGAGGTGTTCCAGGCTGGGAGTCTGGGAGGTTTGATGGGAACAAAGAGTCAGGAATGGGGAGAAGAGGAATTGCAGAGCTCAGCAACACTCAGAGCCTGGGCCAGGCACAGAAAATCAGAGTGGTTGAGTTTTTCATTGGTGAAGTTGAGATAAATCCAAGAATTCTGAAGAGCGAAGGAGAAAGAAGTGATTTAATGTCTGAACATAATAAATGGCCTGGGAAAGGGAAGGGAGAGATGGATTTGAGGGGGTTTTGGAGACCTGGGAAGGGCTTTAGAAAATCAGGGAAGAATCAAAGCCTTGGGCAGGGAAATGCAAAGGATTTGGCAGCAGCAATCCAGAGGAGTGGAGGAGGGAGATTCCAGAGGGAAGCTCCTCTCCTTGGCTGCTTTTCACCTTTTACATTGTTGTGTTTAAAGGTTTCAGCATAAAATAAATGTAAAGCTCTGACCAAATATAACAAATAAATGTCAGAACTCTTGGAGCCTTAAATTATCTTTTTTTTTTTCTAGCATCTCTTGCATCACAGCAAATTTTATTTTTCATTTAGGAGTGTAAGTAGGAAGGAATATAAAGCTCCAAGTTAAATTTAAGGAGAGGGAATTGAAGTGAATCTTTGCAGTAAAACACTGCAGTGACATGAAAATTAAAACTTTTTATAGGGTAATTTATAGGGGTAGAAGATTTTATACCTTGTCAGTCCCTGTGATATAGAACAAAGCTTTTGTCATGAGGATCTGGAAGGACTGCAGTGCTTTAAATCTCAAAAAAGTGCATAAATCTATCTCAGATATTCAGTATTTTTAAAGAATGAACACCCCAAAAATAGAGTACCCCAAAAAGAGAGGGACATGTTGGTTCTGTCATCCAGAAAAATGTCAATTTTAGTTCTGATTTGTGCATCAGGACATGGTGACGGTATGGATGATTGGGATTTGATTTATTGCTAATTTAGGATCTAAATATTGCAGTATCCAAATAAAAATTCCGGGATTTATCACAAAGTATTGGGAATAGCAGGTCTCCTGTTTGGGTCGGTGCCACCCCCTCCTTGTGGGGCTCAGCCCACCCAGATTTGGTCACTTTGTGTCCAAAATATTCCAACATCAGCAGGATGGGCTGGGAACACCCAGGGTTTGCAGCCCTTGGCCCTGCAGGATTCCCAATCCCAAATCACAAAACTCTTATGGAGCTTCTTGGGGATTTATCCCCGTGTTTGAATGATCTCAGAGCTTTCACTCCCCCATCCAAAAGGGAATATTCCCAATTTTCAGGCTGGAGGTGTCCCTGGCAGGGGGGATATCAGGAGACCAGTTTGTCCCAGTTTGTCCCAGTTTGCCCCAGTTTGCCCCAGTTTGCCCCAGTTTGCCCAGTCTCCAGCAGCATTTTAACCGCTTTTTCAGGTCAATGTGCACCAAACTGAGCCCTCTCAGTTCCCCACTTTTGGGGGCGTTAATGACACCCTGAAGCCCCTCCTGCACCCCCCACCTGGTGGGATTGTCCTGGGACACCCCAAGTGCCAGCAGGGAAAGGGAGCAGGGTGAGGGGGGCACACAAGGGAGGGTGAAAATCTGCCTGAAATTCTGTGGAAAAGTCAGAGAATCCCACACTGGTTTGGGATGGAAGGGATTAAAAATCGGTTTATTCCACCCCTGCCACGGGCACAGACACCTTCCACATCCCAGGCTGCTCCAAGCCCTGTCCAACCTGGCCTTGGACACTGCCAGGGGTGAGGCAGAAGCTGAATGCCCTCAAAACACTCAGGATTGGCTTTTTAGGATCATAATTCCATTCCATTAAGAGCAGAGTGACCTTTCCTGTACCCCCTATTCTCCGGTTTGATGCAGTGTTTTTAACAACAGCTGTCCAAAAGCGTAATGGGGTTGGTTTGGTTTTTTTTCAGGATACTGATAGGGAATTCTGCTCAATTGGCACCTCCTGCCATCGCTGGGAGCTGCAGGCTGGGTTCTGCTCCATGCCCTGCCAACTCCTGTGCTGTGATTTGTTCTGAGTGTGGAGCAACCCCTCTCTGAGGGCCACCAAAATCGCTGCCAAATGCAGCTTTTAATTAAATGCTGCCTGTTGTGTTTGGACAGAGCCCTTTAGGCTGGAAATTGTTTTCCATTGTCAGGAAAAATTGGACTTTCAACTCCACTGATTGGTGTTGTTCCTGCTGCCAAGGAGCAGGGGCTGGATTTTGGGGGAGGAGAGGTTTTCCTCTCGAGATCCAGGCACGATTTCCTCTTCCAGCAGTTTGGTTTCAGACAAGGAATATTGGAGAGAAAAGTGCCAACAGGACTTGAAAATCCCAGTCATCCACTCAGCAGAGGTTGAAGTTCATCTAAAATTGCAATAAAGTCTCTCACTGTGATAAAACTCATCCCAATTCCTCTGAAAAAAACATTCCTAGATGGAATCAAAGCTTCCAAACCTGATGAGAACCCACATGTTGGGAAAAAATAGATCCTAGCATGGAATTTACTTCCACAGTCTGAAATTAGACTCTTGAATGTCTTAATTTTAATAAAGTCCCTTCTTTTTGTGCTGGTTTCGATTTTAGGATCTGATCTTCCGGACATTTTTTTATTCATCCCCCTTTGCTCCGCTGGATGTTTTTCATTTACCACCCTCTGATCTTCTTTTTCCCAGCTCATCTTTGAAGGGATCCGTGGCCCTGGAATCGAAGGGGACATTGCTATTGACGACGTGTCCATTGTGGAAGGAGAGTGTATGAAATCAGACCAACCGGCCAACAGTGAGTGCCTCTTCCCCACAAGTTCCTTCCCGTCTTTCCCCTTCCCAAACGGATCTTTTCCAGCAGAACAATCCCGGCTTTGGGGTCAGCTGGAGGGTTTAAAGTGGAATGTTGTCCTGGGGAATGCTTTGCTCAGATGCTGGATGGGTGTGAGGCAGAGGTGAGAGTGGTGGGTGAGGCTGGGCTGGATTTGAGGTACTCAGGCGGGTAAAACAACATCAAAACAGTGCCCAGGGGGCCCAAACAGCATGGAACCCATGGAAATCACTGCTGTGATTCCCTGGGGGCTCTGTCTCACCCCTCCACCCTGTGTGTGCATTAAAACAGAGCCAACCACGCAGCCAGGTGGATTTTCATCCCAGTTCCTGCCCTGTCCCATTGGTGAGGGTTGTCCTCGTCCCCTCATGGTGGGAGGTGACTTTGGGACACTGTAGTAATGCTGAAGGGATGCAGGCACCTCTTCAATTCTATTTTCTCCCCTTTTTGTAGATCTACGATCAGGTGCTGCTGGGCCATTAGCACATATACGACTTCTCCCACTCCTCATCCTCATGTCTGTCTTAAGTCATCAGAGGTGACCTTATCCTGGCAGAGGCTACAAGAGATTCACCAGGCACTGGCATGAAGAAAGAGTCTTTGTAAAATGGACATTTCCAAACAAACTACCAAAGATTCCTCCACTGACTGACTCGAAAGTTAAATAAATACGTAAATAAATAATTTAAAAATTTAAAAAAAAAGCAGATTAAGAAAGCACTGGGGACTTGAAAAGGCATCACGGGAGTGGAACTCACTAAGAACCAAGCTTGAGACCGAGATCTGGCCTAAGTAAGGAAGAGACCTTCAGGTGCTTTTTGTGGTCACTGATGAATTCAGCATCATCTGGTTGAACTCTCGGCAAAGAGCTCTAGAAACCCTTGTCAAAGCACAAAGTCATGGCTGGTTTTGTTTCAAATGAATCGTTTGCTTGTTACCATGGAAACCGAATGGCCTGCCAAAAAAAAAAAAAGAGGAAGGAGAGAGAGAGAGGAAATACAAACACAGAGAGAGAGAGAAACACCTCACTGTAAACAGGGTACGTGAAGAGCTGGCGTTCATTTTCCCTTCCCGAAGGTTTTTAGCGTAGAGTTAAACAAATGTCGGCCCTTTCTACTTCGGCTGTCACCTCTGCTCGAGGACAACCCGGAATCGGAGCTGTTTGCAGACATTCCCGTTTCATTCCTCACGGCTCTGCTTGGTGACTGTGTGCTGTCTCCTTTTGCATGCATTCCCACCCAGGACGTGCCACCTGGGCTTACATTTGTCACAGGCTTCACTGGGAGTTTGCTCGCGGCCGCTGGAAGATCCCTCTCCCCTCCCCACCGGAGTCATCAGCTCTACGGAAGTGAAGAAACCAAACCACCGTCTTTTATAAATTGCCATGGAAACCAAGTGCCTTCAATGAAACAAGCCTGATTTAAAAAAAAAAAAAACAAAAAACAAAAAAACAAAAAAACCGAACAAAATATATATATATATATATAAATATATATATATAAAAAATAAAAAAAATTATAATAAATGTAATAATGATGATTTCGACGCGGAAGCTTTGCACCGCTGAAAACGTGGGCTGTGCAAAGTCTTTTCTAAACAAACTCTGGAGCCTGGGTGTGCAGGCAAGGAGACGGAGCCGCTTCTGGAGAAGGATGGATGGACCTAAGCTGCTGTGGAAAGCCTTTGGGATGAGATCCGTGCTGTGTGACCTTGCAGACAGCCATGGCCTTTCAGCTTCTTATCCATTCGAAACAGCTCCCGGCGGTGCTGCCCGTGGGTGCAGCACCTTTTGTTGTCGTCGTCGTCGTCGTTTCAGGTTCTCCAGTGGGTCAACCAGAGGAACAAAGGTGGTTCAGACACACACTTGGTGCAGAAGGTGGTGAAACACAGGATGATTTTCTTACTCTCCCCCTCCGTTGGGATGGCTCCTGACATCTGGAGCTCCGGACGCTCCGAGGGGGCTCTGCCTCTGCCCCGGAGCCAGACTCGGTGCAGAGGGTGAAAGATTATTTTGTTATTGTAGCGAAATTCAAAAATCAAACAAACAAAAAGTTAAAAAAAAAATAAAAATAATCCACTTTTACAAGGAAAAAAAAAAAAAATAAAAGCTGTACAAAATGGGTTCGAGCTACCCGAACACGTGCCGGTTTTCCACTGCATTGTAAAGTTCCCTTCCAGTTGGTTATGAAATTTGAAGACCTTTTTCCTTAAATTAGCTCAGCTTTTAACTTCATTTAAAAAAAAAAAAAAAGACTTTTGTCTAAAGAAGAGTATTATTATTATTATAATTATAATAATTATTATTATTATTCTGTGTTCTCTCGACACCCTAGGATTAAAAGCAAAACCTGATATGCAAATAATTGGAGTACAAATGTGAAAACAAACAAAAGAGGAGTATAATAATTGCAAATATGAGTATAAAAAGCACAACGAGATGCAGTAAAACAATGACAAGGCTTGATTTTTTTTATTCTGTAGAGAAATGTTTGTGCAAATTCAGTAATTCCACTGAAGAGATAATTTTCCAGCTCTGTTCAATAAAGCCTCTTTCCAGGTAAGGCAGCCCCGTGGTGCGTGTGTTTGTTGAGACGCTGGCAGGGCTTTCCTTGGTCAGCTGGTGTCAGCTGGAGCTGTACTGGTCCATACTGGTGGCACTCGGGGGCTGGAGCATTCCCAGGATGCTCTTGGCTCCCTGGTTTTTAGGCATTTTTGGTGTCTTTAAGTTCCTGTGCTTGGAAAACGGTGGGAGCTCCAAGTCAGGACGTTTTCAGAGAATCCCAGGATGGTTTAGGTTGGAAGGGACCTTAAAGCTCATCCCTGGAATCATGGAATATTCTGGGCTGGAAGGATCATCGAGTCCAAATCTGAACTGAGTGGTCCCTGCGGGGATCGAACCCACAACCTTGGGGTTATCAGCACCTTGCCCTGTTTGGAAGAAAGTGGGAACTCCAAATCTGGAATGGACCGTGGGGTTTGGAAGATGGTGGGAACTCCAAATCTGGAATGGACCGTGGGGTTTGGAAGATGGTGGGAACTCCAAGCCTGGATGGACTGTGGGGTTTGGAAGATGGTGGGATCTCCAAATCTGGAATGGACCGTGGGGTTTGGAAGATGGTGGGAACTCCAAGCCTGGATGGACTGTGGGGTTTGGACGATGGTGGGAACTCCAAATCTGGATGGACTGTGGGGTTTGGAGAACAGTGGCTCTGAGTCTGATGAACCATGGAATTTGGAATATGGTGGGAACTCTGAGCCTGGTGGCCTGTTGGGTTTGGAAGATGGTGGAAGCTCCAAATTTGAATGGACTCTGTGGTTTGGAAGTCAGTGGGAATTCTGAGTCTGAAGGACTGGGGAATTTGAAAAAAAGAGGGAACTCTGAGTCTGGATGGACTGTGGTGTTTGGAAGACTGTGGGAACTCCAAGTCCGGATGGTCTGTGGGGTTCAGATGACAATGGGAATGCAGAGTCTGATGAACTGTGGGGTCTGGAAAGTGGTGGGAACTCTGAGTCTGGATGGACCATAGAGTTTGGAAGAAAGTGGAAGCTCCAAATCTGGATGGACCATGGGATTTGGAAGAAAGTGAGAGCTCTGAGTCTGGATGAACTGTGGGGTTTGACACCCTTAAAAAATACAAATCACTGGATTTCCCCCTGGAAGCTCTGGATTTCAATTGTGCATGGATGGAGGAGCAGGTCAGGCATGGTGAGACCCTGAGGCAGATTTTTTTGGGGGATTGGTGTGTCTTGGAACTCAGGATCCAAACCTTGCCCTGCATCTTCCCATGGATGTCTCCTGAGAGCCACGGAACTGAGGGGTGATCCCAGAGGCTTCTCCATGGGTGACTTTGGCAGGACTCCCTTTGGAAGGGCTGGATCTGCTGGGAGCCAGAGTGACTGCCAGTCACTTCCACAGAATCCCAGAAGGTTTTGCTTGGAAGGGACCTCAAATCTCATCCCATTCCAACCCCACAAGGCAGGGACACCTTCCACAGACCAGGAAGGAAAGGAAAACAGGAAGAATTCCATTGCCTTTAAAATATTTCCCTGCTTTTCCCTCGAATTTCCCTCGAAAATCCAAACTGAACCTTAGGTGCCCCTTGGAGATGAACTTCCTGGGCAGAGCTCTGCCTGCAGGGCTGCTGGTGGTGGCGTGATGGGAACTCTGTGGGAAGTTGGGATTCGGGAAGTGCCCTGTGATTCCTCTTTGATAAAGGAGTTGGATGATAAGGAACAGGAGAGATCCTGCTCCGTTGTTTGGATCCCAAGCAAAAACTGCAGGCTGAAATCCATCTTTCCTCTTTCCATTTGGATTTTCCTTTCTCTCACTCCCATGGAATATTTGATAAAGAATTTCAATTGACAAAGACCACAGATGTCTTTTTTCAGGGCAGAATAATCTGCATGTCCTGAAAATCACAGGTTTTTGTGGGATAGGAAATGTATTCCCATGCCTGTTCCCATTTTACTCTGGGGTGCAGGAGGTGCTAAGAAAAGCAGAATTTCTCTTCCAAATGTTGATTGTAGGAGCAGTTTCATCTTCTTTTACATTCCCAAAATAAAGCACTGAAAAGGAAATGGGATTTTACTCCAGGCCATAAATAAGAAGAACAAATTGAGATATGAATTTCCTACTCTTGGTTTTTATTTTATGTTACATTTTGGACTGAAAATGGATGTGAAAATGTTGGATCAGCCATCAAAGGCAGTTGGAACTGGCAGTTCCCTGGATTTTGAAACCCCTCTGATTCAGTTCTGGGGTATCCAACCTTGAAATGTCCTTGATGGATTTTTAAAATGGACATCAAATACTGGATTGTGCAGAGACTGAAGTCCTGGGATGTTGGGAAAAGTGGCTGGGTTTGATGGGATGGCTGCAGGAATTACCTGGCTGTTCCCAAAGCAGAGGAGGGTGGAGCACAGGATAAGTTTTCCAGGTTTTTTCAGTTCTTTCTCAGGCAGATCTGGGAGCGAAAGGATGGCTCTGGAGAACTTCCTTTTTTGTTTCACAAAGCACAGTGAATGTGAAACCATGGAATTGTAGAATTAAGGAGTAGTTTGGGTGAAAGGGACCTTAAATCCCAGCCAGTGCCACCCCTGGATGGGCAGGGACACCTCCCACTGTCCCAGGCTGCTCCAAGCCCCAGTGTCCAGCCTGGCCTTGGGCACTGCCAGGGATCCAGGGGCAGCTTCTCTGGACAGCCTGAATCCCACCTGAAATCATGAAACACTCGGATCTCACTGTGCTACCAACCCACCTCTTCTCCAGCCTGGCCTGGATCCTGGATGGGACACAAGGAGGGATAAAAACAGGGATTAAAAGGGAGTAAGCCCATTCCAATGACACCATGGATGCACAATTAGGATTTGAAGGCCTGGAATGTAAAATTTCCTTTTAATTTGGGACAGGAACTGGTGGTTCCTCCTAAAGTGATGGAGCTGCATCTTCCAGCCTCTGCAAGCCCCAACCTCCACTGACCCCAGAGCTTTCCTTGACATCCAGCACTGGAATTCCTGCTGCATCCACCATGGAGATGGAATTATCAGTTTTGGGGTGATTGGGATCCCCAAACTTTAAAACAAAGTCAATCTTCAGCTTCTTGTTAATTTTCTCTTCTCCTGCCTAGTCAGGACAGTGAATTCCCTTTGTAGGGAGCAGTTCAGGCAGAAGGATCTGATTTTTTTTCCATGCTGAGTTGGAAGAGGCTTTCCTGGTTTTATTCTGGGAGAGTTTACCTGCTGGGAATGTTTATTTCGTATATTGAAGCGTAATTGAGACTCTCTTCCTCCCCCAGAAGTGTGTGATCCATCAGGAAAATGGCTCTTCGGAGCATTTCCATAAAAAAAAAAGGCTCCAGTTTCGAGTTACAAGCACTCCCTGCCTCTCCCATGCTAATAAAGAGATTGGGAGCCATCTGGAATAATTCTTGGATCTTCCCATAAAATTATCAAAAGCTATAAAATTATTTTATGCAATTATTTTTACATTTCAAATTCTTTTTTCACATTTTTATGGAAAATAAGCAGCACTGCAGGAATGTTCTCCCCTTTTTACCTGCTTCGCCACGGTTCCAGTGTCAGTCAGCACAAAAGGAATGAAACCATTGGGTTATTCCTTGTGCAAAGGAATTTAGGGGCCTGCAGGTCCTGCAATCCCACTTTCTTGGGATTTACAGTGTGCAGAAGTTTTCTGTCATCTGCTCCTAAACCCCTGACTGTGTCACCCCCAGATCCCATGGGAATGTTGGTGTAGGCAGGAAATTCTGCTCTGTGTGATAAAAAATAGGAGCTATCATTAACCCAAACACAGGGAAATTGGGATTGCACATCCTGCTCTTCCCTGTTAAAATATTATTTTGTTTTCCTTTGGATCTGTCAGACTGGGGAGCTTGTATTCAACACATCCCAGAATCCCAGAAGGGTTTGGGTTGGAAAGGACCTTAAATCCCACC